CCCAGGTCTAAAAATGAATAAACTGAGAGACAAGAGCAAAATTTGACTCTTAAAGTTCATGCAAGCTTGTTCTACCTCTTGGGATGACTAGAAAATATCTTTATTTCCATTTTAAAGTGTTTAGATTAGAACAGAAGAGATTGAGTATCCTATGCAAAAAATATACTGATTTCATCCACCAACACCATTCCCCACAAAAACTAAACAAAAATTATTTTAACTTGATTTTCTAAACTAAATATGATTTCAATTTAGAGATTTGGTTTACTTCTCTTCTTCTATTTTAAGTTACTGGAGCTTATTTTCCTGGAAAAGTTACATATGTATTAAAGATATCTAAAAATCCAAAGACTGCAAAGGGCAAAAATATCAGAAATAGAAAACATAATTTAATTCACCCAAAGATAAACTCATCATGTTTTGCTCATATTTTGTTTCTACTTTTTCCGAAAATAATTGTATCAAACTATATATACTGTTCTGTGACTTCACCGAAATCTCCCACGTCATACACTCATATACCACAAAGTGTTAAGTGTGTTCTCAGTTTCAGGCAAAAGTGAAATGCCGAAGCCCAGTGCCAGTCAAAAATGTGATGTGATGTGGGGAACCCAGAAAGAGAGCTAATGAACCCTTTCTGGGAGCTGATGGTTGGAACTTGCAGGACAGAAGAAAGCATTTCCCAAAAGACATAGATCATGAGAAACTACTAAAAACCTCGGCAGTCATGGCCTGTTGGAGACCGGGCAGGACTGAGTTTGCCTGGTGTTGTGATTGGGGGGTGGGGTGGGGGGCGAAGGGTTGGGGGAGGTCCCGGTTTTAAATTGCTTTGTTTGCCAGGTGGTGGAGCATAGAGTTGCTTCTGTTGATAGTGGGGAGCCAGGGGCTGCGAATCAATTACTGCCTTAGTGAAAGCAAATGTTACTGAGGGGGGACAAGCAGAACCCGGCTTGACTCTTTTCTCAGGGTTAGATTTTTCCCCCAAATCCGGTGCTTAAAAAAATCTTTATACAAGCTAAATGCAGTCCTTATGAGCATTTCTCAGAAAGAGCTCAGAACCCTGCAGAAGCCTTTAAGCACCCGAGCGGCACACCTCACTCATTCTGACCCTTAGAGAGCAACCGGGGACGCTGCTCTCCTCCCGGGAAGCAATGCGCCGGTCCTGCTGGGGCCTGCCCTGGGCTCCGGGGAAGGGGAGAGCTGTGGATCCCCGACTTGGCTGGTATGGGGTTTGCGAGTTTCTCCAAGGGAACTACTTGTTCTTAACCAGCTCATCTGCGCCACCCAGTGGGAAAGTGTTAGGATACAGCTTTGAAGGCTTTCGAAGGGGGCATCCAAGGAGCCTCCTTCCTTCCTAAGTCTCAGAAGTGCTGTTTCGACCATTCTTGCTCTACATGAATGCTAGGAGACACCCCAGGAAGCCGTTTTTCTCCTGCGTTTTGAGGCTGCACGGTGTGATGAGGAAAGCTGGTCCTGGCTTTTCACAGACTAACTCGGAGGCTTTAGAGAAGTCTCATATTCTCTCTCAAACTGTTCCCTCTTTTGATTTTTTTTATCCACACTTCTAGTCTTTTAGTGACAGAATTGTTTCAGTACTTACCATTGCACCTGTAATGCAAAGAGGCATTAGTCTGGGCGATGAAACCATCTCTTTGGTATTAAATTCACGATGACTGGGACCATCCATGATTCATGTATGTGTAAGTCAGTACAGAGTCAATAACATCTGAATGCATGTGCATAGGAACGTCTCTGATGCTCTAACTGCACTCACACTGTGGAGGGCAAGAAGCTGGCCTTTGCACCCAGACCTGAGTTTAAATCGCACCCCAACCACTTCTGCGTGACTTTGATAAGTTGCTCTCAGTCTCTGAGCCTGTTCCCTCCCTCCAGTGGGATGGCAATCTTACTTCACAGGGTTAGGGTAAGGGTGACATGATGTATCAACTGTGGAGCAGTGCCAGGCACAGATGGAGGGACAGCAGACCTTTAAAAAAGAAGAAATGGGCTATAAAACGCTGTTGTAGCACCGCTAGTCTGAATATGTGTTAAAAGCAGCAGACCTTCATTTGGTGGAAGCAACTGTTACCTTTGGTCTCCGTAGCTACCTGTTCACCGGGCGCCAACCACCCTTGCTTCGAGGCCCCGATCCCTCTTCTGCCAACCGGGGTCTTAGTTCCTCCTCTCACAGTCGGATGGGTGCAATGACAAAACACCGAGGAACCTGGCACCTCATGGGCACTTAATAAATGCTAGTTTCTTTCTTTCTAAAACCACTGAGCCATTGCAAATAATTACAGAATTAGTTATGAAGTCAACATTGTGTTCATCCCATGATCTCTCTCTCTCTCTCTCTGTCACTCTTTCACACGCATAGACACACACTCACTTTGCATTCCCACCTTATTTTTCCTACCTCTGTCATCAAAACTTAACCAAAACACAAGAACTTTTGGCAGCTTGAGAAAGGAACAGCACATTCCCTTCAAGATCGTCATTATGTATTTCCTCCCTCACACCAGGTGCGTGGATCCTCATTTGAACAGCTGTGCATTTCCCCGCCTCCTGCCCTGCTGGCCCAGGCCGCCAGGTCCCTCTGTCCAGCCACAGCTGGCTCCACCTCAGCCGCTCCCCCACTGTGGCCCTGTTCTCCAGGCCCTGTCCTCCCACCTTGACTCTCCCTCCGACATTTCGGAGTCCTTCTTGGTGGGTGCCCATCACCGACGTGCTCTCAGCCCCAACCCCCAGCACAAGCAACCGCTGCCAGGTTTGTGCTGGGAAGAGATCAGGAGAGGGGAGACAGGCAGATTGAGCCCATACGCATTAACACTTCTGCTCTTCACGACCACCTTCTCAGGTAGGTATCACTGTTCCATTTGGATGAGGAGGCCGAGGGCCATTGCTTGCTTGATTCAACAAATTTTCACTGAAGGACAGTTGCCGGGAACTGGGAATGTAGCCTCAAACAGCAGACACAGCCCTGCCCTTCGGGGCACTTACAGGATCTGACAGGACGAACTCGGGAGTAGAATGAAACAAATGATAGACTGTGTGAGGAACGGTGCCCCAAAGGGGTAGAAGGGGCCATGCCCTGTCTCAGAGGTTGGGGAAGGCACCCTAAAAAGGGGGCATTTCAGCCAAGACTTGAAGGTGCAGAGAGGTCACACACAAGGGTAGTGAGGGCAGAACTGTCGGCGAATTCAGTTCTACTGTGCCTCATGGCCTCCCTGCCTCTGAATATTTGCATTTATGTCATTTTATTTTAGTTTAGTTTTTGTTTTTTATAATCCTCAGCCAAAGATATGCTCCTATTGATTTTAGCTTTAGCAAAAGAGGAAGGGTTTAGGGACAGAGAGAGAGAGAGATGAGAGAGAAATATCGATTGGTTGCACACACCCTGACCAGGGGATCGAACCCACAACCTGGGTATGTGCCTGATCGAGAATTGAACCCATGACCTTTGGGTGGATAGGATGGCGCTCCAACCAACTGAGCCACATTAGCCAGGGCATGTCATTATATTTCAGCTTGTGACCTGATAGATGCTGCTCCTTGCAAACAACAACCTCGTCTCCCAGGCACCTGCTACATAGCACAAGTAATAAGTCTAAGTAGGTGCTCATTTAATTTTTTCAATGTGTGTATCTGTATGTACTTGCCTGTATTTAACAAGAGTCTAGGGGTGCAAACGTGCCTACCTTCTTTCGTGTATGTTGGTTATTTCTTTAACCAGCACATCGGTATATTTTCTAAGAGTCTCTGTGCACCTGGGCACTCCCAGGCTCAAGCGCCTTTTACTCAGAGGTGTGCTATTTTATAGGCTGGGGTGATCTGGGTCAGTGTGCAAAAGATGTAGCAGCTGTCATTAGTTCTGCAGCAGGTAGGACTTGGACACAGCTCACTCATCTGATAGAAATGACATTAAACGTGTCTCCCAAGTACTGCATGGCATAGGGCTCCTTCCAGCCTGCTTTCCAGGCTGTTCTTGAGGAGGAAAGAGGAGCCACTATCCTGTGCCAGGCACCATGCAGAGGATGAGGGATGCATGGTGAAAGCACACGCAGTGATTGAAGGTGTGTTTCTTTTTCCTGACTCTTGGTAGCTCACAGTGGAGAAGGGCTAACAGACATGCCCACAGCCTATGCACACACACAAAGTACCTGCCAGCTCATTGCATGCATGACTGCGGGGGGCACAAGTGGAAGGAGTGGCTAACTTCACAGAGGGTTGGGCGGGAGTTTTGGAAGGTGTGCCAGGCAGGTGAAATGTCTCCTGCCTGATTGGGACAATTAATGGCAGCTAGCCAAGGAAAGAAGGCGGGATGTGGTAGGAGCAGGCTCAGGTTAAAGCCTCAGCCTGTGCAGAGGCCCAGAGACAGAGAGCAGGCAGCACATTCAGGACCTGGGAAGACCTCAGGGGCCAGGCAGGTGGTAGAAAGTAAAAGGCAAGGTAGTTGGCTGCATGTAGACCCATTGGTATACTTTTTGTTTCCATTAAGAAATGTCTTCCCTCCTGCTTCTCTCGACTTAATACCAACTTAGACTGTCCTTTAAAAAAAAAAAATCTTTGATGGAAACTTAGGTAAAGAGAAAATATTTTCTAAGAAACACAGCAGTCTAAATCCACTTGTCCTGTCCACTTGTAAGTGATGCTTGGTTCCTGTTGGAGAGACAACTGGGAGTGGTGAGGCCTGAGGTATTCTGCATCTGAAGAGGACAGTCGTTAAATCCAGCTGCTTAGTGGCTTCAGATCTTGCAATATTTCAGGAAAAGCAAGCCAACCTGGATTTTCAGCAAGTTAGCCATGTTTTTAAACATGCTTTGATTTATTAAAAAAAAAAAAAAAACAAACAGAAGACATCTGCAAGCTAAGTCTCATTCAGGGTCCATGCTTGCAACGTCTTGTTCCGAGGCTCCTGAGGTTGAAAGGGTAAGTCAGATCCTTCAGCAGTCAGCCCTCTGCCTTCAGTGTCCCTAACGCCCTTCTCCCCTGCTTTCCAGAAAGAGATGACGACCCGGATGTGTCACTAACGCCCACCTTGCCCTTTGGAAGAGAGAAGAAAGCCGTTTGCTCCTGGAGTCCAGGTGGGCAGGAGGGAGACCTCGAGGCTGAGATGGCGCATGGACTTCCAGGAGCAGGCGAGGTGGAGACCAGGGGTGACCCCTGACAGACGTTCCCCCCACTGCCTGTGTCTTAACCCTGAGTGCTGCTAGCCACTACCTGTGGACCTGCCGGTCGCGGCGTTGGAGAAGGACCACCCCTGCGTCCTCCTGGCTCTGGAGGAAGCCTCCTATGCGCGTCGCAGTTCTGCCTGGGTCCCGAGCCCAAGCTGCGTTGGAATTCAGGCTGCAAGACTGAGATACTGTTTGTCTGTCCACCTCTTGTCTTGTCAGCGGCAGACTTTTCTGTACATGTTTTCTAAGTGCAGAGTGCATTTGAAACTGTGGATGCAATTTTTTCCAAAACAAAACCTTCTTGTCCCTTTCGGGTCCCTGATCCCATGGCTCAACTTCCCGCAGGGCTGGGGAGCCCGGAGAGGCCCGCCGCAGCGTCCACACCATTGTCCTCACAAGCAGTTTTATCAGGGACACTTGGTGGGTGGCTCTTCTCTGCCCCCAACAGGGTCTGTCCACTTTAACTGCAGGGAAGAGACTGGTTTCTAGCAAAAGGCTAACGAGTTACCAGCTCGCCCTGAACTGAATGTGTTTTTTTTATAACATTGTTTCTTCCATTCAAGATATTTTGCCCTGTTTCTCAGAAGAGAGAAATAAAAGGGAGTTATAAATGACCAAGGATGATCAGCAGAAGCCCTGAGCCAGAGTAGTGCAGTGTTTGTTCGTTATTCAGGGGTGGGGGTGCGTGGCCATCTCTGTGTAATACTGAAATCGCAGTGAAAACAGAAGTATGACTGGTTATCGGTGGGTGCGGCTCCGACTCCGGGGCACCGCCGGTAACCTCCCAGCCGGCCCTCATTTTCCTCCTCCTCCTCCGCGCTCTCCCCTCCTCTGCCAGGTTACATTATGGGTGAAATTAACTTCGGCCTCAAGGATTGTGTCACAGTTGCCAAGGTAACTGTGGAGCTGAGCCAGCTCCCTCCCCCCCCCCCCCTTCCCAGGTTTCCCTTCCCACGGACAGAATAGCGCCCCTGCGCTGCTTCCTGCCTGGAACCCAGGTGAGTTGCTTGAAGAAATGTTGCCTTCTCTGATTCATTCCTGACACTGTGGCGGCCCCCAAGGCCTGTGACTGACTAGGTAGTAATGGATACTTCCAGTAACCATTTGAATATGACAAAATAGCAGTTGGTGGAGGGAAATAGATAAGAATGTATTCGCGCATCTTAATGTAATACTGATTAAAGAATAACAAACAACTCTGATTTTGTTTCATTACATGCAATGTATTAAAACCATTTGTGGCTGCCACAGAGCCTAAAAGCATGCAATATTTCTTTGTCCAAACCAAGAAAGGACTGACTGTCTGGGCTTGGTGGCGTTCTGCATGGACCCCACCCAGCCAGCCAGCCCTTGCTTTGCACCGCGTCAGAGTTGTCTCATGAAATCCAAATGCTGCTGCTACCTCTCTCCAGACTGTTGTGCTCTGGTCAACAAAAACCACGCCCCCCCCCCTTTATTTTTGAGAGGACAAGATAGGCAAAGAATTTTTTAGCATCACTTTTGGCTGAAGGAATATCTGACTGTCCTAAGGGTCCAGAGAAACAGAAATAAGAACCCCTGAAATGCAGTCTGCAGTCAGTACCACGGAAGGCCAAGCTGGAGCAGGACAGCGTGGAGCCCCAGCCCTAGGAGGAAGTCGGAAGCGCTGTACCATGGGAGCCACAGGAGTTTTACATTAAAAATTGACTGTGTTCCTGCATTTCAATCACCTAGGATGCTGGACTCAGAAGACATTTGTTATTAATTCCTTTTAAGGTTTTTTCTGTTCACTGTTCATGCATATGAAATTTCCATTCAATTTAAAACTCCAAATATTGTTTCAGCTTCTTGGAATATTTTCCTCCTGGTTATATTGCTAATTGCACTAATCAGCTACTCTAGGAGAAGTTCTGGGACACTACTCTTACTTCTTAATTACAGAGTATTTTTATTACAGAGACCCTTGTTTGGCAAATTCTAAAGAAAATCAATTACAGGAGGTTTTTGTGTTTTTCATCTCTTTGGCCAGACTACATCACAGGTACATCCCACTGGCATGGAGCACCTGCTGGCAGCTCCTCCGGAGTCTCTGGCTCTGGGCTGGGGGCTGCCACCTGGCCCCTTCCTCCGAACTCGCTGGCTCTCCTTCATGTCCCACTGTTTTGTTTTGTTTTTGTTTTTTTAAATCTGAATTATACATGTAGCCACTATTATTTCCTTTTGAGAAATTTTAAAAAGGAAAGATTATAATGAACATCCATATACCCTTCACTTACATGCATCAGTTGTTAACATTTCTTTAATTGTTAACATTTTCCTATTTTCTTCCTCTGTAAATATACAGTCTTATTGATGAACCATGTCAAGATGTGTTACAAACATCATAAAACTTTAAAGTACTGTATCAATTGTCCCAAAAATGTTTATGAATTTTGTTTTAAATCCAGGATCCAATTAAGAGTTCTATACTGCACTTAGTTGTCATTCCCTTTAGTTAATGGATTTGAGTTCTCTGTGTGTGTGTGTGTGTCCCTCATGATGCTCATTACAAACTTCAGGCTGGTTTGTTTGTAGACTGTCCCACAATCTGAATTTTTTTTCTGATTCTTTCCTCCTTATTAGATTCAGGTTTAAAAAGAATGACTAGCAAACATACTACATACGTGATGTTGTTTCTTTCCTATTGCTTTACATCAGGAAGCATCTATTGTCTAGTTGTCTCTTTTACGATGTTAAGCTTGCTCAGTGGGTCCACTCCATTCATTCTAATGTCCCATAATTCACTGGGAGGCTCTGAAACTCAGCACACGTCCATGTCAGAGAGTGTGAGGCTGTGCATGTGTGCATTCCCTTCTCACTGCTCTCAGAGACCGGATCCCCAGAAGACTGCAACCACTGTAGCTGGAAGACAGAGCAGTGACAACAATTCATCTTTTCCCATTTAACAGAGGAAAAGGGAAGCGGACAGGCTCCCGGTGCAGGCGGTGCACGAGTATGCTGGCCAGTGAGCCTTCGTGTGGTCCCTGGAGCCAGAGTGGAAATATATGTAACTTCCTTTTTTCTCCCACCCTCAATGACCTCCCATTCAGACCCATGCCTTTTCATTGAAGAGAATGTATTTTGTGCCAAAAAGCACAAAAATTGATGGGTGTGGTGTAGATATTACAGTGGGTCATGGCCCTCCAAAGGGACAAAGTACAAACACAGATATGAAGTGTATATGTGGTGTTAAAATTTCATGGGGATAGTGGGATGATTTTGAGTGAAATGTCTAAAAATGCTCCTTAGAACAGTAATAATGGGAAGCAAATAGGCTGAGAAATACTCATCTAGAGTCAGTTACTGCTTCCAAGGGGGTTGATTTTCTCTTCCTGGGGTGTTTTCTCATTTCTGAGGGCCAGGATGAATGGAAGCAACTTTGAATGATTTCTTAATCCATTCCTTCTACCCTCCCAAACCATATCAGTAACATTCCAGGAAAACCGGTGATACTCTCAAAGGTCTCCGGGCAAGAAATTCTACAGTGTCCTTTAGTATAGTCCACTGAACCTTTCAACCTCTGAAATCTTCCATTCAGCTTGAGCCAAACCACGATCTTTGAGTTTCAGTTCACCTTTTCAGAGTCCCACATCAAGAAAGAGCCAAAGACATATAGAATAAGTAAAGACGTAATAAATGAGAGCTTTATCTGCATATCCATTAAATATTTGAAGACCGTTACCATTCGCCCTTCAATCTTTTTTCCCCTCCCTTTGGCGTCTCCCATTGGCAAAGTTCTCATGGAAATCTTGCTGCCCCCTTCCTAACAGGTCCGTAGCCCACTGTGAACCTTCCCAGAGCTCTCCTTCTACCTGTGCGCGGGGACGGAACCAGCAGTGAACATGCAAACAACCACTGCACATTTTCTACGAACGATACTGTGCCTTTGCTAAATCCCGACCTGATTTTCCTACCTTTATAAACTTTCGATTCCATTTGCCCATGCTAAATTCTTATCTATATTATATTCACCCATTTTGATTTATCTTCTTGAATTTCCTTCCTTTCTACTTTAAACATTTCTCATACGAATACACTGTTTTATTTGCTTTAAACACCTCTTGAATTGGCAGGGACTTGGATAAAATGCTTCTCATCACATTGTGGTGATGTGTGCCAATCCATCATTCTGACCATGGCTGGAAGCACAGCACTCCCTGGGGTCTCCAACCTCCGTCATGCCACCGCTTGGGCATCCCACCGTGAGAAAAGAAACGCCGTAGGAAACCAGGGCCACATCTCAGAGGAGTGGGTGCAAAGGCAAAACCACTAAAACAGGTCGGGTGTGTCACTTGGGTAATACTGTTGTCATTCATTCTTGGAGCCTTTTGGTCCTTGATGAAGTAGGTGGTTCTTTCTTAGAATTAGCCAAACAAAGTGTGTTTTGGAAATAATAGATATTTTTTCCTGCTTTAAAAAATTATATCAACAAAAAAATTTTTTATAACTGACTGTTTCTTTCGGGGCAGTTATTAATTGTGGGTAAGAAGTTTTCAATGAGTAAATAAGGATTTTTGTAACTTTTAGAGGGAGGGGTCCAGTTCTAATTTGACAATGAGGCTGTTTTGCTAGCTTTCAGTGTTCTCATTCCAGAGTTTTCCAGTGTCTTTTCTAATTGCATCAGAGAAATATGATTACCATATTTTAGCTCCATTTGTGATTAAATTAAGGGTTTGACTATAAGAACATGCACAATTAAATAGAAAAGCAAGATAAAGCTAAAGGACATCTATGAAATCAATTCTGTGTGACCTTAGGAAATGTCACAAATAAAGGACACATAATCATCATTTATTCTGTCTTTTCCTGTGTGTGTGTGTGTGTGCTCAGTTTATTTCTTCATCTTGCAGAGG